CTGCTGATTGCTCCAACACATACGTAACATGAGAAGAGCACTGAGTCAGCTTAGGCTGAGCCTTGGAGAAAAAAGAAATGTACAAAGACAATTTTATTTCCTTCCAAACAAACAGAAAATGGGTGGAAAAAACCCAAGAAGGATGCAATGAATTTTTAGTTTTACAGTGCTCTGCTACAAGGTGTATCCACAAACCTGAACCCTCTGCCCCTCACAGACATGCTGGTCTGTCCATCCTGGTGTGACAGGCCTGCTACCTCCTGGCTGCTGCTCCCTCTGAGCCTTACATCTCCCCGTGGAGAAACGGGTAACCTCAATTAGCTCCGCACAACACGGCCCTGGGTTTTGCTCCTCTCTGCGCGCTGCTGGCCTCAGCACCGCCACGTCTTACGGAGCAGTCTGCAAGGAGATTTACACATGACCTGTGTTGTTTTTGGTGGTGTGGTGGGATCTGTGTGATAGCTGTCAGACAAAAGTCAAAGTAATTAAGGATTAAGAACACATCCTCATTTGTTTGCTTTTGGAGGGTTTCATGTATGTGGTTTGCAGGACTGTTGCTAACTAGAAAACAGCTGATCTGACAACTTTTAATAAGGAGACACTGTTGTATTAGGGCCCTCCAAGGATTCAGTACACCTTGAGGATAAAACTTTGCACTTTTCTGACACCTGAATCAATGTATTTCATGTCAGAGAGAGAAGGAAGATAACTCAGCCTAATCTTATTTGTTCTAGCAATTTCATGTAAAAATGCCTGCCACAAGTTATCATGCATTGAACCAAGGGTTTTTTATACATTAAATACAGAAACAAAGAAGACAGCGTTTAACAGCAATTTATCTACACAAAATGTCAGTTTGCTTATATTTAATTTCCAATATTACCAGTCATTTTTAGATTTTACTTATCTACCAATCAGATATATAATACAAGATACAGACTATGGCATTGATACTTATTTGTTCAGGAGCAAAGATGTTCTCACTATTAGTTTCTTGATTTCAGGTACAGTGGAAACATGGATAAATAGACAACACTTGAACTAACTACACATGTTCTTCTTCATCCTAATATTTAAAGTGCCTACAAATCAATACACTTAATATGGCTATGATCGTTGTCATTTACATTTTTAAAATTCAGTTTGAAGCCTATGGATTTACTATTGTCCTTATTAAAGAGAAAATTGGTCAGAACAGTGATACATAAATCCTAGGAAGATCAGTTGGTTTTTTTTTACTTTTGCATCACACTAGGCTTAATATTACTCATAAGCTTATTATTAAACGAAAAGACATTAAAAAAGCAAAAAGCAAGACTTCTGTCTCAGCAACCTGCAGCTCAGGTTTCTAGGCAATCCTACATCACCTTCCAGCATCGCGTCCTATGTACAATTGCAGCCCTTGTTCTTCCTCCCCTCGCTCCGTCTTCCTCATGCATCCCACGCCACCGTTCTCCAGGGGGGAAGGAATTTTTCTGGTTTTTGTTTATAAAGGCCCTGGGCGCGCCGGGGAGGGTGCTCCGGGTGGGGTCTATGCCCGCTTGACACTGTTGAGGAGCTCCGTCAGTTCGCTGATGTACTTGATGGTGTACTTCAGGGTTTGTATTTTGGTGAGGGGCTGTCCCCTCTGGCTGTAGACGGGGGGCAGGTAGTTGCGCAGCGTGTGGAGCGCGTCGGCCAGGGTCCTCATCCGCAGCTTCTCCCTCTCGCTGGCCTTCCTCCTGCACTGGGCAGACATCCGCACCTTGGTGCCCTTGGGCAGCCGAGCCTGCCCGGGGCTGGGCAGGTAGGCGGCGGGGAAGTCCACCAGGCTGTAGCCCACCAGGCTGTCACCGCTGCTGTAGGGGGTCTCCGTCACCGCTGGGCAAGGGGACGAGGAGTAGGATTCGAAGGAAGGTGTTGGGGACAAGCTGTGCGGAGAAGAGGTGGAGTGCGGCTCGAAAGACCCGGTGCTGCTTTTCCAGTCCCAGGATGATAAGCAGACGGAGTGCTCCGAACCCAAAGCGTCTTCCATGTTTATCAACGTCTCGTACAACTTGTCCATGCCGGAGGAGCGCTCAGGAGAAGCAATGCCCTCTGCCCGCCAGCAAAGGCTGGAGCCGCCGGCTGCCGAGACCTTTTTATGATGGAGGAAGGAAAGTGACAAAGTGGGAACGTGGGTTTGGCGAGAGGAGTTCAAAGGAGCACCACAAGTGCTAAGATGGAAAATGAACTCCTGATGTGCTAGTTTCTTCTCAGTGATAATTATCAACCTTCAGCTAAAAAGCCTTTAAGCTAACAGGCAACAGCGAGAAAGGGGGAAAAAAAGATTATCTTCTTGCAACTAAACCAATTAAGGCTGCACATCTATGTGTAACATTGCACTGGGGGGATAAGTAGTGAGAGAGGAAAAAGAAAATTAACCATTTTACAAAACAATTTACAGACATGTAGAATTTAAAGGTAACGACGGCAAACATACACTGAATTTACGCTATCGAGCCCCGATTTCTGCGTAACTGAAGGTGATGGCACTACAGCAGTGATGATTTAATCCATGCTGGCTGCTGCTGAAGTAGTCTCTCATCATCTGCATCTTAAGCACGAAAGTCAAAGATGGTTGGTTTGGATTTGTGTGTTATAGCTCTTTGGATTTCTCTTCTCATGAGTTTGTGGCTTCTCTGTTGATCACTTTGGTTTTCAACAGGAGAAAGGAGGAAAAAAAGAACGGCAGTGTATTCCCTGCAGTCTGTAGATTCATTTGCTATTTTAAATCATGACTGGGAAATGAAAAGTGAAATCTGAATTGTAACTAAAGTCAAAGCTCCATTTAAAAAAAGAAACAAGAAAATGTATTTTTTTTTTAAAATGGGTTTGAGAAATAAAATAAACAGTCTATAAACTTTGAGCCCAGACAGAAGTTTTACATTCAAAGAAGTATACAGATGAGACTGTGTAAAAGAGGACTAGAATCTACTTCTAAAAAATTTTCTACCTCTAGAAACCCATTCTTTTGCCAAACAAAACCTTTTCCAGCCCTGATTCAATGCAACAGTGAAGTTATATGTTAGGCAGTTCAAGTGAAAATGTATATCCTATAAATTAATAGTATTGATAATGATCACTTTTCATCTCTAGGCTTCAGAACAGCTTACAGTGATGATTAATGATGTCTGTTAGTCTGGGGAAATGGATAAGCAGAGGCAAGCAGTAACTTGCCCAAAATGACACAGCAAATCATTAGGAGAGCCAGGAAAACTGACTGAAACTACTGAGCTCTGCAGCTCTACTGAGCAGCACGGCTGCCAGCCACAACGTTGTATCAGCCCATAATGGAAGCAAAATATAATATGTAATGAAAATAAGGGGAGAAAGAGTGCCAACGTGGAGGAAAAAGAAAAGTAGGATTCATTTAGAAATTCTTTCTGTGTGATGATCTCTGTGTGCACCATGATCCACGCTGAAACAAGGGGGAATGCCTCCGAATGGCACATAGCCGAAGGAAGCTGGAGCTTTCTGGACTACACTATTTTTTTTTGACTGTGAAATCCTCACTACAACCACTCACAGGGGGAAAAAAAGAATCAATACTCATCATAGTCATCAGGAAGGCTTTTGCTAATTTTCAAGAGTTTGGGATCAAAATGTTGGGAAGCGGCTTGTGGGACACTTACTGGGTTTATGCTGAGATAATAAGAAAACCAAAAAGTGAGGTATTTCAGCATAGACAGAGACAGCTTGACGTGATGACATCTATCCCACGCAGAAACTTGGAGCATAGCTCACCACAGTCAGGATTGCTTTGGGGTTTATGGTTACTCCATCGTATTCTGAGCTCTCTTTTACTCCTTTTTTACAGAAAATGAGCTGAAACAGTCCTAATAATCACAAAAGTCTGCTTCAAATTAAAAATAGGACAAGATGAATGACAGATATTTTCTGTGACTTCAGTGAACTGAATGAGTTTCACTGAGCACCAAGACAACAGTCACCAGGCCATATTTTAGACACAAGATATAATTCCACATAAACAGGGGACTCATTTTTGTCCCAGTTAAAATCTCTCTCCCACTCTTTTTCTCTTTTCCTCCCTGTATTTGTGTTTATAGTTGCCTTTTCCATTTGATATGTCTCTTGATCTTATTGTATGTCTTTCCTGTTTCTGGTAAACATAACACTTAAAGTATACAGATGGACAAAAACCAGGAGGGGAGGTAGAAGATGAGGAACTTCTGTCAGGATGGCCCAAGAAAAAGGAGCTTGCAAATACATGTGTGTGTGTGTGTATATATAAGTACACAGACTGAGCATATGTATAAACTGTCTTGCTCCGCAGTTTTGATTTTGGAAATAAATGTTAATTAAATGCCATCAAATTCAGAAACAAAAATTTCAACAAGTCACTTGTTTGCTGACTAAAAACAATGCATGTGGCCAGGTAATTTATACCTTTAAACTATGGGTCAATCATAGAAAATGTTGCACAGACACCAAAATGGAAAAGTGTTTTTGCATGTCCAAGATGGTCAACACAGTCAGATTTCATCTTTGTTTTTCCTATATGTAGGGATTGGGATGAGATTAGGCACGGAAGAGTAATGCAAATTATAGCAATACTCTTTCTTATATCTTATGGGTAAATGCTTAGAGTGATGAAGGCAGGATGTTAGAGTACATGGACAACTGCTCTGGTTGCCTGAAAAATCACTGGATCTTACAAGATTACACTCCTACAGACTGTTACACAAACAAGAAAAAATTACAGGCTTTTCTATAAAAGGGCTATACAGGGCTAACACTCACATTTGAAAACTGCCTTGCAGTTGTGCATCCTGTTTGATGACCATCATGCTCCCTGGCACTATTTTAGGTCGGACCCATCTAGTTATGTCCCAGACATGGACAGATTGCAGTTCAGGGGATGCTATCAAGGGCATAGTGGCGAGCAAATAGTTTACCCATATGAAAGCAAGTTTTGCTGTAACACATGTCTTCAGAGCCAAAAAAGGGGCTGTGGCCATTTGCTCTATTGTATAGGTGCAGCCAGAGGTTCAATTTTGAGAAATAACCCCCCTGTTTTCTACCCACAATCCCTGTGTTCCCAAACTAGACTCACATGAATTAAGCCTCAGTTTTGGCAAATTGGGAAGCTATGCAATGTCCGTCTTCATGATGTCTGTATGATCCACAGCCTACGTAAGTCAATGGAGTCTTGTGTTGGTTAGCTGTTCTTGGATGACTTAGTTTTGGATAACACTATGTTTCCACCCGCAAGTATGAGAATCCTCCGTTAGGAAATTATCTTCCAAAGTAAAGACAACTTTAACAGGCAAAAATTCCTGGAATTGGTAGAACAGTTCACAGTGTTTTATAACAGGGCCTTAAAATGTACCTTACAGAAGAAGGCATGGCTATAGGCTGGTTTAATTTCCCTATATAAAATATACCCTATGACTGCTTGATGTTCTTTCACTGAAGAGCTGAGAAAGACTAGTATTTCAGTTGGCACCTTCCTAGAAAGTAAATACATACAATAATTTAAAAAAAAAAAAAAAAGATTGCATTCTTTATTTTATTCTCGCACAAATTTTGGGAAATCCCTTTTTATCTGTCAGTAGTATGTCTAAACACTGAAGAGTAGTGAGACATGAGACTAACACCGATGAAATACAAATTGACAGGTAAAAAATGATGAGGTATTTTCTGCTTGACAAATAGTTTTGATTTTCATTTCAGTAATTTATTCTGCAATATAAAGACAAACATCTCAACCTTCAGCTCATTTAAAATGAAAGGTTCCCTGCTCATATTTCTACAATTATTTACAGAAGGAAGAAGTACAGATGAATGGAAAGAGCAAAATTTTTTCCATTTAAAAGAAAAAAGACATGCAATAGAAAATTTTAGAGCTTCCACATGTGTACGTTTCAGATTTTAAATTTAATATAAGTTGTCCAGATAATTGCTGTCATCCGTGAGTATTGTAGATAAATGCATTTTTATGTACAGTTATTTAAGGACTGATCTACATGTTTTTCTATAAAGGTTCTTGACTATATTCTCATCAATCTGAATTTAGTAGGAGAAACAGACTTGTAACAATAAGTAAAAAATCATATTGGATGGGAAAATGCAAGCTGAAACTGAGTAAACATGGATAAATGTGTTTCAACAACACTAATCATGTAACAGCATCCTTTGCAACCAGGACAGAAGCCCAGTCTTATTTCACTGACAAGAAGCAGAGCATACTAATATCTGGTAGAGCACTTAAATGATAGAGCCTCATCTTGCAGTTTGTACCATGAAAAAATATCTGTCTCCCAAAAACTTTTAAAGTCACTTCATCTCTTACTGAACAAGAGGATTCACAAGTATTAACTGCTACACTACCCACTCGCTGCGGAGGTGGCTGTTACCATCCTGCTTTACAGAGGCGCGGACAAGGAGTCAATCATCCCTATATAAAACATGGGGCAAGCAGCTGCAGGTCTCAGTAACTTCGGCAGACGCAGCAGGTGTTCAACACTTCCGAAAAACGGTGTTGAACACCTCGGTTTACACCCAGGATGGCAATAAAGGATGGGAAGGAGCGACCACATTTGTTATCCAGAGTCACATTAGTCACCAGCTCATGCTTCTCTCCTTTTTAAGGCTTTCCTTCAATTTGGACAGATGCATTTTTTAAAATGAGTAGACTTCGCAGCTTTTTGCTACTGGTGACATCTGGCTTAATGTGGGTCCAGCCTCAATTGAGATGTATTCTACATAAGCAAGCTGGTCAACAAATAGAGGAAAACAAGTCAGTAAGAGAACCTAGACTGATCCTGAGTCCAGCTCTATGAAAGGAAGCCCACAGCCCTTACTACAATCCATGAAAACTATGTGTAAGTTTGATTTCTACTTGTTACTGCCTCTGGCCAAACAAACCTGTGGCTAGCACAAGAGAAAAACATGGTTATTCTACCATGGTTATCCAAAACATGGTTATACTACCAAAACATTGGTAGTAAATGCAGAAATAGGCCAGTTCTAGTGCTGTTAAAAAATTCTGCCATAAGCATT